ACTGAACACACAACCAGCATAGGACAGTGCCTACGAATCCTAATCAGCTGGCCGACACGCTCCCATCCATCTCCACCGAAATACGCCGAGTCCTAATTGTAAGAGATGAAAAGTTGAATTTTATTGCTTGTTGTGATTGGTATATACGTCCTGTCAAGAAGAGCATGGCCTTCTTGGAGCGCAGTGTTCACCGGGATGTTACCGTCCTGGAATGATTAAAAGATGTAAGTTATCGAAATATCACTACGGAAAGAAGCTGACAAACTTCGGGCAATACTCACCCTGTAACTGGGGCACTTCAGCGGCGACAGTCTCCTTTGGGCTTTTTACACAACGCACCCTTGGGTGGCTGATTCTTCGTTATTTCTTGAAGCTTGGTGCCTACAAACAATCAGGTCTCATGAAACATGAGACTTATCTGCGATGAGCGATGTTTCATTTCCAGACGAACGGCCTGAAACTGGTAGGACTTGCATTAGTCACTGGAAATCATCATCACCTCTTTCTTTCAACTGGCTCTCTGTGGCATTTTTACTAGTATTGTGCTACAACTCACGGCTGCACATTAGCTCATCCTAGGGTTCAAAAGTATGTGCGCACATAGAGCCCTGGGATATGATGGGCTGGGACTCGATGCTTGGTTGCTGGTCGACAGCACAAAGCTCTCATACCGCGGACCGGTTATTAGGCACACCTGTGCGTGTTTTTGATGGGTTGGGGGCTAAGCATCGAGAATTATTCGATCATCCGATGAATCAACTTTGGTACAAGCCTGAAGAACACTACCTCACTATTACAACTTTCGACGTGATTGGATACGTGATCCGTTGCATAGCGGCGGTCACTGGTGTCAGCCGGCTGGTTACAAAGCAAACAAAAGCCTATGTCTGCCTCTACATTGCCATTTGCGTTGGAATGCAATATCCTCGACAACCGACGGCAATTTTTCTGTCACAGACGTGGAGCTTTGGCACAGAAGCATTTGCACCTAAACAATCAACCGCTAAATACCGACTGTGGCTCTTCTGGGTGCCGCCCTCCGAAGTTTATCTACTACTGTGTTTACCTGCCCATGATAACCATGGAAATTTGGCGGTTGTGTCTTGGGGACAGGTAAAAGTGGTATTCCTTGTAACGGTATGTTTTAATCTGACAGCAAGCGTCGGTGGTTGGGGAGGCAACCCAAGAAATAATCCATGAATAATATTTATCACTACCTGGAATCGACAGGTGCCTAAATATGGAAAACAAATATATGCAGAGACTCACATCGCCCGACAGAAGGAGCACTGGTGTCAACCACCTGGGATCACCTGCATACCTGCACAAGGAGCTAGAATTCATCTGCCGTAGATGGACATCATCCTCCTTTTTCGACACTATAACAGTGCTGCCTTGGAGGGTTTTGTTCCAAATTGTCTTCAGACTGGGGAACACGTATCCGTTCAACCGAAAACGCTCAGCACGTAGCCGTCGCGCTTCAGGATTTGCGGCCATTCGAAGTGGTATAAAGTGCGCAACTGATATTCCTGCGTGAGCCACCCAGTGTGCGGGACACCTTCTGTGCGGCGTGCTTCAATATCTGAGTGCTGCACCCGGCTTTTCAGCGGACAGTTTGTGTTCTCCAAAAGCGTTTTGGACCCGTCACAAAAAATAACGCTCCAGAATGTGCGTGCACAGCTACTTTAGGGTGACCTACGACCAGTAGGCCGTAAGGTTATAAGCTAATTGTGGGTCACTGTGGATCGGTGCTATCAACGCGGTTAGTGTATATCTTGTTGGAATCGGTGTGCTAGCATTATGACAAACAAAAAACCAACTGTACATCGTTGTGCATGTAAGCCTTGCGGCGGACTATGTGCCACCTGTTCGCCCAGTGTTTCTGTGACAAAAATACATATATTCCATTGATAAATTCGAGCTCTTTGAATAGGGGAGTAACGCAAGATGACCTCGTGTGCAAACACTACACTCACTGGCTGCATGTTCGCCGCCAGTTTGTCCGTCTGAAAAGTACTCAACAGACGTATTTCGCCCATCATTTCCCTGTACAAGCCCAACGGCCTAAGCATAGCAGAAAACGGTTTACTTTACGCGAGAGCACACAACCGGTAATCTACTACCCATGGCATGGATGACTAGACAGGCGTGCCAAATCGGTTTGCTGTGTGTGCTTTATTGACATTAACAACGTCCTGAAAGCGTCAAAACAGCGCTGTCTGTTGCTACTGGACAGCTAGTGCTGCGTGTGCAGCTTGCAATTGGCAAGTGCACCCAACTGAATATTTTTTTGGATCCACCGAATTTCCGTTAGCTTTGGTGGCCGTCTGTTGTATTGACAGTATACACACTCGCAACGCAAAATAGTGTTGGTGATTCGATTACAATTTGCATGAAAGGAAACTACATAGTTTTCTTTCATGTATTCATTTAACGCTTTCTCAAACGTCGTACAGGATGAAAACTGGACGGAAACCCATTTCACAGCCATATCTAAAATTGGCACTGCAACTGACGAACGTATTTGCGCACCATATGCCGAGATACGGAATGCGATTAGATGAAAAAAATTCCGGGGAACTAAGGCAAATAATGGTCCTTTTGGGTGTGATCATACACACAGCAAAGTGCCTCACTTATAAGTAAAAAAATTTCATTTCACATACTAGGGTTTCAAAGAAATAAGCATCTGTCGAATAAGAACCAGCAAAAAATTCAGCCTCTTCGGGAAAAGTGATCACAACTATTTCCCCAGAAGACTATTTCAGGAGACACAGAAGATGGGCAGATATTTCGCAAGATGCGAAACTACTGTAAAGAAAAAACCCATCAATGGGGCATATGAAGACAGGCTATGGAATTATCCTTTGCTTGGGAAATCAGAGCGGATAACCACGTTTTCATTGAGGTTCAGAAATAGGCAGCCTACGGGCAGATCGATAAAGTTACGGTAAGTCTACAGGAAAACCACTCACTCTATCTCTGTGTCATCACCACATCCAAAATTGGCAAGGGCTAATACGGATAGCCTCAGGCAAAACTGGTCTGCCCGGCATAGGATTTTTCTTGGTTCTTGCACAAAACAAACCCTTGAGCACACTGAATCCAGGGCAGGTTTACTTAAGGATCCTGAAGGAAATGATTCGCGCATCAGGGAACACCTCTATTTGATATTTTGTCAGTCAATTATTTAAAGTAACCTCCTGGGGGAGAAGGTTTGTAGGTTAGATAGGGTAGACGGTCGCTGGCTTGTTCGCTCAGCTGAGGAATTTGACTGCAAACGTTTCATCGACAACTGAGGTGACATCATCAGTGCGTTATTGGGGAGCGTAGTTTTGCGTAGCGGTGGGTTAGTGGTTGTGCGCTGAGTAGTGTTACGTGTGCGTTAATATACGTGCTATTAGTCGTGGATGACCTATGACCGCTATTAGTTGTTCGGTCGGGCGGTTCAATTGGCTGCTCTGTTACACCGTGTCCTCATTCGCCGATGTACACGTGACCTTTGAGCTTGGCATCCCCCGCCGTCGTAATCTGGTCGACATTGAGATGACTTTTGTCTTTCCGAGTTCTGGTTTGTCACCTTTATTGATTTGATTCCGAGGAGTTCCTTGGTTCTTTGTTTGTGAATCCAATATTCGATGTTCCTTGGGTGTTCCGGTTGAGATGTTGGTCTTTTGCACGTAGATGTGCGTAAATTGGATCCAGTTCGATGCACCGGTCGATCGATTTTGCCTCGGGATACCATCCCTCCAGAAATTCTCTTTCGAGTCGCGTATCTCTGTATACTGAAATTTTTGCATTTTACAGATTCAATTTGTGGCCTTCTTGGTACTCGTGTGTAGATATCAAGGACATATGGTCATGCCTCCCGACAACCGCGTTGTGTTTGTCTATTCATGTGCATAATTTCCTTCCAGTTTGTCTAACGGAGAATTTGTTGCGGTCGTTGCAGCTGATTTGGTACATCACATTGTTCCTCTTGGTTTTGTCTCGGTTGTCCTTTGGTCTAGAGATTAATTTTCTTAGGGTAGTATTCGTGCGTGTGCCACAAAGATTCCTTTTTGAGCCAATAATCTGGTTGCGAGTTCTGATATATTCTTGATGTAAGGTAGGACTACCGTGTGGTGGCTTGTTCTTGCTGTTGCTGTTGTTGGGATGCCTTTTTCTTCAAGCCTCTCTCGATAAAACACCGTGGATATCCATTGTTCTGGAACACACTGAATAGATGGTTTTCCTCCTTTCGCAGTTCTGTGGTGCTGCACTGTGTCTGCGCTCTCTTGGACAAGGTTTGCACGCAGCTCTTTTTGTGGTTCACCGGATGATTGGTGTTGTAATGCAGTAGTTGATCCGTATGAGTCTCTTTAATGTATACGCACGTTTCTAGGGTCCCATCCAGCTGTCTGTTAATCAAAACGTCTAACAATGGTACCCGATTGTTTCTTTCCAGTTCGATTGTAAACTCGATATCTTCAAACACAGTTTTGCGCAGTTCATTTGTGTCGTGTACTGAATCCCATTTCATGATGACAAAGGTGTCGTCCACGTAGCGGATATACAGCGTTGCACTGATGACCGGCAGTATCGCATGCTCTAACCTTTGCATTGCCGCCTCAGCAAAAAATCTTGATATTGAGGATCCCATTAGAGTTCCTTTCAGCTGTTGACATATTAGTCCATCAAAGTTAAAATACGTATCCATGTAAATATCCAACAGTTTGTGTATACTTTCAGGTTTCATTGTTTCTGTCGTGTTCGAATTATTCTGAGGGCGTTCTGCTACGGTTTCCCGTGCGAGGTTGTGATTGATTGAATGGAACAGTGATGTGACGTAAATGAAAGCATGACTCCATCGTCTCCTATACCGAAGTTCCGTAGTTTGCGTAGGAATTGACTTGCATTTTTGGCTGTGTGTTCCGATCCAGAAATTAAGTGTTTCAGTCTTCTCCATAAGTCTTTTGAAAATCCGTAAGTTTGGGTTCCCGGAAGTGAAACAATTAGTCCTAATGATGTTCCTTCTTTGTGCACCTTTTTAGTCCGTAGAATTGTGCAACGTTGGTATCATCGGCTTTCATTTTCCATCGTCCCTGCCTGGTTATCCCCTGCGTTGCTCGCAGTTTCTTGAGCGTCATGTTAATTGGATTAATGATGTTTGAAGATGGAACATGGTCGTTTAGTTTGTAGGTCGTGGTGTCATTTAGCAGGTGCTTAGCCTTTTCAGTGTAATCTG